CCTTTGGGAAGAGCTCTTATTCCCTACAGCATTTGTCTGCAATTCTTGGCAATATGTCCTTTGAAGCCACACTTGGAGCACCCATTCTCTTGTGATTTATTCCCTCAATTTTGTGTAAATAGTTGTTTAACCACTCCTTTTAGTTGATGTTTCGGTATTACTTGATCTAGTGATACCATAACTTCAAAATGTGTCTTTAATTGTTTATCTGCAAACTTAGTTCCATCCTCAACTACAGAGCTTCCTTTAATGAGATACACCTACTTTGCTTTACCCAATTCTAATATCCTCATCTGTTATGGTGTCTGCAAGTTGGTCACATATCAACAAATCCATCATTTCATGAGGAGCTTTCAGGTAAGATACTTAAGCAAGCCTCTCCAAATCTTATAGATGTTCAGATAGGGTCTCTTCTTCCTCCATACCCTGTTCTGGAACTTAGCTCTGGATACTTAAAGTGCAACACTCCAAACTTGTTGGATAAGCCAGCTACCAATACTTCATAGCTGTTATGGCTATCAGCTGGAAGATTACTTAATGCAGTCAAAGCTAGTCCTTTAAACAGACATCAAGACAGATGGCTTGTTGTTCATCATTACACCCATTCACTCTAGAAAGTATTTCAAACTGAGCCATATATGACTTCCATGGTACCTTCCCATCATACCTATTGGACTAGCCAGCTAAATTCTGGAAATGGATTTGGCTGGAGTAGTCCAAAAAGGTTCTTCAGTTACAGATGGCACAGCAGTAGTGGTAATACGTGTAGACTTAACAAGTTTTTCTATTCGTATCTTGTAGTAGATGGTGTTTTCAGTTGGAACACTTAAGTCAATGCAGAAAGAGATACAACTGGTTTAATCTTTGCCTTTAGCAATATATTTTTTACTTTGGACTTAATCGACATCCTTCTGTACTTCTTCAATCTTATCCTTGTAACCTATCTGTACAGCTCCAATAGCTTCATAAATCTTGTCTTCAATCAGATTTATTTTTGCTTTTAATTCTTGTTTTAATAGTATGTCTTTCTTTTTCATCTTCTCTTATGGCCCTGTCAGGTTTTCTAAATTTCTGTCCCATTCTTCCTGGTTTTAAGTTAATTTTCTGTCTCTTTCTTCTTGTTCTTCTTTAGATGGTCTGTCTCTTCCTGTTAACAACCACTGTTAACTCTTGGGCTACACTTGCCTGACTATTGTCTTATAAAGCCAGATACAGTCAACAACAAACACTGCTAACTCTTGGACTACCGTTGCCTGACTATTCTGTTATAAAGACAGCGACAGTCAAGAACAACAACCATTGCTAACTCTTGGGCTACCCTTGCCTGACTATTCTGCTATAAAGACAGCTACAGTCAACAACAACAACCATTGCTAACTCTTGGGCTACCCTTGCCTGACTATTTTGTTATAAAGAAAGCTACAGTCAACAACAACCACTGCTAACTCTTGGGTTACCGTTGCCTGACTATTCTGTTATAAAGCCAACTACATTCAACAACAACCACTGCTAACTCTTTAGCTACCCTTGCCTGACTATTCTGTTATAAAGACAGCTACAGTCAACAGCAACAACAACTACTGTTAACTCATGTGCTACTCTTGCCTGAGTATTCCGCTATAAAGAAAGCGACAGTCAACAACAACTACTGCTAACTCATGTGCTACCCCTGCCTGACTATTCTGCTATAAAGACAGCTACAGTCAACAACCTCTGCTAACTCTTGGGCTCCTCTTGCCTGACTATTCTGCTATAAAGACAGCTACAGTCAATAACCATTGTTAACTTTTGGGCTACCCTTGCCTGACTATTCTCTTATGAAGACAACTACAGTCAACAACAATCACTGCTAACTCTTTGGCTACCATTGCCTGACTATTTTGCTATAAAGAAAGCTACAGTCAAGAGCAACCACTACTAACTCTAGGGGCTACCTTTGCCCGACTATTCTCTTATAAAGCCAGATATAGTCAACAACAACCACTGCTAACTCTTGGGCTACCCTTGACTGACTATTTTGTTATAAAAAAAACTACAGTCAACAGCAACCACTGCTAACTCTTGAGCTACCCTTGCCTGACTATTTTGTTATAAAGAAAGCTACAGTCAACAACAACAACCACTGCTAACTTTTGGGTTACCATTGCCTGACTATTCTGTTATAAAGACAACTACAGTCAACAGCAACCACTACTAACTCTTGGGCTACCCTTGACTGACTATTTTGTTATAAAGAAAACTACAGTCAACAGCAACCACTGCTAACTCTTGAGCTACCCTTGCCTGACTATTTTGTTATAAAGAAAGCTACAGTCAACAGCAACCACTGCTAACTCTAGGGCTACCCTTGCCCGACTATTCTCTTATAAAGCCAGATATAGTCAACAACAACCACTGCTAACTATTGGGCTACCCTTGACTGACTATTGTGTTATAAAGAAAACTACAGTCAACAGCAACCACTGCTAACTCTTGAGCTACCCTTGCCTGACTATTTTGTTATAAAGAAAGCTACAGTCAACAGCAACCACTGCTAACTCTTGGGCTACCCTTGCTTGACTATTCTGCTATAAAGACAGTTGCAATCAATAACAACAACCACTGCTAACTCTTGGGCTACCCTTGCCTGACTATTCTGTTATAAAGACAGCAACAGTCAACAACAACAACCACTGCTAACTCTTGGGCTACCCTTACCTGACTATTCTGCTGTAAAGAAAGCTACAGTCAACAACAACAACCACTGCTAACTCTTGGGCTACTCTTGCCTGACTATTCTGCCATAAAGACAGCTACAGTCAATAACAACAACCGCTGCTAACTCTTGGGCTACCCTTGCCTGACTATTCTGTTATAAAGACAGCAACAGTCAACAACAACAACCTCTGCTAACTCATGTGCTACCCTTGCCTGACTATTCTGTTATAAAGACAGCTACAGTCAACAACAACAACCACTGCTAACTCTTGGGCTACCCTTG